TACAATCACGCAACGTATGCGCACCTTGCATAATGCAATGTAGGTGTTATATATGTACATATAACGTGCATACATCCAGGCTCGCGAACGGAGGATACGAGCCTTATGTACGCAACTCGCAACGGGGTATTTCCGCTCGTCAAATAACAAGTTGTATACATTCAGAGCCCAATCACACGTATTATCCAGTATTCTGTGAACCACCGTACTTCGACAATCTGAACGGACGTGAAACGCGTTCGTACCGAGTGATTCGGATGGGTATATTCAAGTTTGATAATTATGTCACTTGAGATAACGCTTTAATTTATAATATCATTTTGCTTCAACTTGACAATGTGACAGGAATTAAAATAATAAGTTAATTTAAGCATGTCTTATCTTAAAATTAATTCAAAGATTCTATTTAAATTTTACTAGAAATCTAAAGTCTTTCATTATCCAGGACAGAATAAAAGTGTGATATTTTAATATTCTTTAATTTTAAATATTACTTTTCAGAATTAAACTTCGTCTTATTTATACAGTAAACCCACGTGTAGAATAAGTTTTCTTTTATTTCTTTAGATCACTCAGTTACTAGTATGTAGGTATGCTTCCTGCATGTGCACGTACGGTGCACCCCTCAAATTTTCAATCCCCGCTCGCCAAGGCACGTCCAAATGATAGACCCGGTCTACAAGAGGAACGACAGATCCGGATCGTTATCGATGTCGGGGTATATCCATCTATCGACGGATCAACCATCGATAGCCAGCGGAAACGACGGACCATTCGCACGGGGAATGAGGAGCATCGCGAGAGCGGGTTCGCATACGTGTGTATCGGTGCGCACGATTCACGGAGGGATGTAATAGACGATGTAATCGGCATCCTACGCGTGTAGCACCGTGTGTACATACAACGGATTGTCTAATGCGGGACATGTGTTAGGTGATCGAATTTTGCAGCGCGAATTTCGCGTCGAGGCGCGCTCTTTCCCACTATTGTACAGGCGGAAATTTAAGAGAGACAATACTTTGTCGCGGTTTTCAATTGGAACTTACGTAATGAAAGGGATCGATAAAATTTTAATTCTAATTTTAAAGTCGTCGACCGAGTCGATTAGTAATAAATGCATAATAAATAATTATTAAAATAAAATATTTAACATCACTCTTATTAATTATCGTGCTATTCTAATGTCAAAAATGAAACAAACCATATCACAAATTTGCAGGACACTTTTATGAATCTGAACGTCGGAGCGTTTCGACTAAAATTTTATAAAGCAGAAAAGTTCAAATTACGAAAAACAATTGACACCGACGGTTGTATTTTTCGACGTCTCGCTAAATTTATGGATGATAGGTAAAACAGGAAAGTGAATAGCATCATATAATTTATTTTATCATATAATTTTGTACAAAAAAAGTAATATGTAATAATCATATGTATAACATATAATATGTAACATATGATTATTACTGGCGATACTTACTGACTAAAGATCCTTCACGACTTCCTCTTTGCTTTCATTTGCGTCCTACGATTCTTGCCTAATCTTTGTTTTCCCTTTCCACCTTTTCCTCTTTTGCCTTCTTTCGGTTTCTCTGGTCTTCTATATTCAGAAACATCAGCCGAACTGCTCCTTGTGTTCCATTTGCTACGGCGCTTTTTTCCTCCATAACCAAATTTGGCAGCCTTCATTTGCATCTTTAACTGCGCCTTCGTATTTATCTTGCGATTTACCTGTGGTTTATCTTGAGCTTTACCTTGCGATTTCTTCTTATCATTCAAGAAATCGAGATCCTGTCGCATACCATTGCGATATTTTTTAACACCTTCAATCAATTTTCTTTTCTCTGCATGTTTCTTTAGAGTTGTCGCGACTTGCATTTGCTTTGAAATCTTCTTTTGTTGTCTCAATTGTCTTACTTTTTCCGATCTTTGCGTCATTATCTGCTTTTCCAACAGATTTTCTCGCACTTTTTGCATATGCTCGTCAGATTTGACCATTTCAGCAAAGTAATCACCCGGTCTAGATACTGATATGCCAAGCTTCTTTAACCTATTAACACCTTCCATAACAGCACCCTGAGCTTGACGATGAAACATGTTCTCTCTATGAAAGTCATTCACAACTGGATCCTCAGACGGCTTGTATTGAGGTAACTTTCTATTTCCTTGTAGCTGCTTAGCTCGTCTTACTTCTTGCTCTTGCATTTGAAGCGCCAATTCTGGTGCCAAAGGTGCAAGTGCATTTACCATATCCAGTTTCTCGATCCATGGCAAGTTCAGCTTTATTTCATCCAATTTTTGCTTCATGTGATTCTACAATTTGTTTAGAGGGAGAGTTAGGTTAAGTTACAATAAAAAGATTCCAAAATGTACTGTAGTAATTTCTGATAAAAGAATCACATACGACGTAATTCTTGGATTGCTTGCCACTCGTCTCGATTGCCACATTGAGCCCTGGATTCAGTAATCCCTTCGCGAAGGCGTCTTGTAGCTGAACACGTGAGGTTAAACGAGGTTAGATTAGAATGCGCATGATTTAAGTGGTAAGCGCTCAAGGAAATCGTAATACTCACCTCCTCATCGGACGAATTGTACTCTGAGTTTGATTCTGATGTTTCTGTCATCGTGAATAATTTAATAAACTATTACCTTTACTTAATTGTGATTATAACCGGTAGAACGTGCTCCTAAATGATTCGAGAACAACATCGCCAACGCCACCCTCCAACTCCACGGATTCCGAATTTTCTTTCGACGATGCTTCTAGCGACATCTGGTGGAGCAATCTGGAAATTATTCGTAAGGTATAATACCAATAATCAGCAAAAAAGGAAAAGATACTTTCTCTTTTTAAAAAAATTTTTATCCATCAAAGACACTGTGATATAAAAACAGACGATAAAGAATCATTTTTTATCAAGTTGATATTTGATACAAAGAGAATTTTCTTCTACAGTCGAAAAATAATTTTTGTTCATCAATCGTTTTAACGATACGAACGAACGTCTTATCTCGAAAATCCCGATTATGTTAATTAATTCAAAATAATTTCTCGCAGCAGAAAAAATTTGATTATACGATTTGTAATACCCGATATTTAATCTTTTTTCCACATGTTCAACAACAAATACTTTTATTTGCGTTAAAACAAGTTAATCAAAGTATTGTCCAAGTCGCGTCGTGTTATTCCCGCAGACCAGTTTATCAGGAATTAAACTTACATTACGTGTCTTAATTTCCATTTACCATACAAGAATAGTTTATGAGAATAATTTAAAATGGAAACGTTCTCAGATAAGAAAATTAATAAATTTTATATGTATACTTTCTTTCGACTTTTACATGTATACTCTCGAAACTTTTATGTACACTCTTGGCACGATGCAATTACAATTTTCTCTACTCTGTAATGCAGCATACAATACTAAGAAAAACTAGAAATTGTACTATTAAAAATATCCGCGTTTGGCAAAATGTTTATTTGAGTTTATTTATATGAATTTCGATTCAACAAAAACCTATATTTATTAGTATATTTCTTTTTTTTATTTTAGGTTTAGAGAAATATAGTCGTATCTCATTTTGTTAGCGAAGGAAACTTTCAACAGTTTTACAAAACTGTACTATATTTTTCCTAACCTAAAATTATAAAAAAAAAGAAATAAACTAATAAATATAGTTTTTTGTTGAATCGGAATTTAAATTCAAAGTGTATAAGATATTTAATCGGACACCAACTAAAAGTAACTGAACAATGTTATAATTTCGTACGATATAAATGTAATACAACACGTAATGTATTATATAAATTACATAGTTGAATGCGAAATTATAACATATTGATGTTACTTCTAGTTTGTTGTCGACTGGATAACTGCCGATACAAACCAATAAATAAATAACTCTTATAAATAACACTTTTATAAATAACTAATATAACTCTTGACAATTAAAATGTAAAAAAGGCTATTAGGAATTGGTGCGATATAGAAGAGAAATATCCCTCTTTGGAATATTTTTGATTTTAAAAATACAATTAATTCAATCAACACGAAGAAAACTTTCAATCAGTTGTAAAATAAACTTTCTATTGAATGCGGCCAAGAAGAACAAGAAAGTCAAAATAATGTCACCGAAACATAACAAAAGTAATGACATAAATTCTATTAATAAACGGTTAATATAACGTCAATTTGACATTATTTTGACTTTCTTATTCTCCTTGAAAACAGTTACGACATTGTTGTATTTTTTAAACACATCCTAGGCGTAACACAATCGCATGATATTAAAATGGCTTCAAAATGATTAAAACTTAAAAAGTCACTTTTCAATCATTTTGACATATCTTCAACGTTACCGGGAGTTGTTCTATTTGAGATAGAATCGCGTATAGAATATTTCCGAAAGAGATGAAAATGAAAGAAAGACGCAAATGATCTCGCAATGACTCAATTCGTAAAGTTATGCGTTACATACATTTTATTCGACTGTATACAGTCTATAGCCTTGATGAGTCTCACATTTGACAGCTACGTGCATTGCGCAAAAAAAAGTCAGCGATATAAAAGTATTGATCGTACTCTTAATCATTTCGCTAAATACTTGATGGTATCAAGACTGTTCAAGACTCATCGATTCATAGTCATTCGCGAAAAAGCGAATCCGCAGCATTTCCGAGAGACACATCCGTATGCGCGTTCGCATGCCATATTACCATGATAAATTCGTATCTACCCTTCATATTCGAAAAAATAAAAGGGACGATAAAGAGAAGATATAAGAGGTCAAGACAAGAAATTGAAGTAAATAACAAAGTAATTACGTTTATTCTCGCGACGAAGGGGAGGTTAATTCCGCTTAATTCCGTAATCGAAATTCTTGCATTCCCTCCATTTCATCGTCACGCTTCGACCGTCCTCGGATATATGCCGATTGAATGAGTGCGGTGGTGGTGAGGTATCCGAGTAGCGCAGAGCAGCGGCAGAGTGACGGGTGTCGATCAGCTGATGCAGATCGCGCCATCGAGAGTTCGGTCAATTGCGGCGCGCGTCCGTAGGACGCAACAGTCTCCGCGGAAGCATCGTCTACTGGGAGTCCTGTCTGACACGCATTATGCGCTCGATTTTCATGTTATGTCCAGAATTTCCGTCGCATGATAACGACGACTGGCCGGATGATAACGACGTAACATGGTGTATAACGATAAGAAGTCGATGTCACGTTTAATGAAATTCGTCAACAAGTTCAATTGCTTCTATTTGTCAGGTAAGCGTTACGCGACGGCTCACGCCGCTACATATGTGTATTATCCCCGTGCGACGCGTCTCCCGGCGAAGCGTCATCGACGGAAACGAACGACCGCCGTTCGCTCGGACCGCCGAGAATAACGATCTCACGCTTGTGTGTGTATTTGCCATTCGCCTTTCGGTGGAAAATAATAGGAGAAGAAAAAAAAACGAGGATCTCGACATGAATCACGGGAGCGATTATCGACGGACCGCGCGCGCCTCCGCCACGTCCCCGTCATTGCGTTTTGAGTCGTCGATGACGGACGGTCTATTCCGCGGAATATAACTACTCCAAAATCACCTTAAACTTTTTTTGTAACGACAGATACCTCTAATCGGCCCAATGCTTGTTTTGAGTAAACTCGTTTAGGGAGATCGCCACGTATTGCGAAAACTTTGATTATACTTCCTACATACCTAGCTTACTTCCAAGAGAAATGTAGCTACTTAGCTAAGTTTACATTTGGAAACGTTGTATAAAACATAATTATTTCTGATACTCTATTCTCTTTTCCGAACATAATTTCCCAACAGCACACACAATCAATTTTTTTAATAATAATAAATGTTCATTCTTGGATTATATTAGGTGTAGTAAAAAGAAATCCATTACTTTTCCAATAGATGACTTTAGTAATCTGTATCACGCGTAGATGAGATACAGATTATTAAAGCCATCTATTGGAAAAATAATGGATTTCTTTTTGCTACACTTAATATATTAACAAAATTACAATACGTGTAGAACAGAAGTTATATTTCTGTAAATTATGAAAGAATACATTTATTTTTTAGGTTTATATGCAGGAGAATACAAAACTTTTATTGTCGATGGGCAGCAAATCGGACTTGTTCGAAAAATAATGTTTATTTATCAATCGTTTTAACGATAACGTTTTATCTCGAAAATCCCGATTATGTTAATTAATTCAATCAACATAATAATTTTTCGCAGCAGAAAAAATTTGTAGTACTCGATATTTAATCTTTTTCCACATGTTCAACAACAAAGGAATTAATACTTTTATTTGCATTAAAACAAATTAATCGAAGTATTGTCCAAGTCGCGTCGTGTTTTTCTCGCAGACCAGTTTATCAGAAATTAAACTTGCATTACGTGTCTTAATTTCCATTTACCATACAAGTGAGAATAATTTAAAATGGCAACGTACAGATAAGAAAATAGATAAATTTTATATGTATGCTCTCGAGACTTTTGTATGTATGCTCTTGGCACGATGCAATTATAATTTTGTACTCTCTAATGCAGCATATACTATTAAGAAATACTAGAAACTATACTATTAAAAATGACCGCGTCGTTTTTGGCAAAATGTTTATTTTGCAACTGATGGAAGGTTTCTTCGCTGTCAAAATGAGATAAGACTATATTCCTCTAAATCTAAAATTATAAAAAAAAAATAAACTAATAAATATATTTTTTTGTTGAATCGAAATTCATCAAAGTGTATAAGATATTTAATCGGACACTAATTAAAAGTAACATAATAATAATGTTATAATTTCGCACTCAACAATATAAATGTAATACAACACGTAATGGTATTATATAAATTTCGTTGCGAATGCGAAATTATAACATATTGATGTTACTTCTAGTTTGTTGTCGACTGGATAACTGCCAATACAAACCAATAAATAAACTAATATAACTCTTATAAATAACTCTTATAAACTAATATAACTCTTGACAGTTAAAATGTAAAAAAGACTATTGGGAATTGGCGCGATGTAGAAGTGAAATAGCCCTCTTTTTGAATATTTTTGGTGTTTTAAAAATACAATTAATTCAATCAATACGAAGAAAACTTTCGATCAGTTATAAAATAAACGTTCTATTGAATGCGGCCAAGGAGAACAAGAAAGTCAAAATAATGTCACCGAAACAAAAATCACATAACAAAAATAATGACATAAATTCTATTAATAATCAGTTGATATAACATCGATTTGACATTATTCTCACTTTCTTATTCTCCTTGAAAACAATTGCGATATTGTTGTATTTTATGAACACATCCTAGGAGCCGATTGGCTGACGCAGTTCGCGCCACCGAGAGACCGGTCAATCGCGGCGGGCGCTACCCGTAGGGCGCAACAATCCACAATAATCTCCGCAGAAAGCATCATCTCCTGGGCAGTGATGCGAATTCCGGGCAGCTTGCTGCAAGCGGCCGGAATTCACATCATTGCTCCTGAGACGCCTGTCTGATGCGTTATGTGCTCGATTTTCACGTTATGTGTAGGATTTTCGTCGCAGCTGGCCGGATGACAACGACGTAACATCATGGTGTATAACGATAAGAAGCCAATGTCACGTTTAATGAAACTCGCTAATAAGTTCAATTGCTTCTACTTGTCTTATAAACGTTACGCGACGACCCATGCGGCTACTTATTATCCCCGGCAACGCGTCTCCCGGCCGCGTCATCGATGGGAACGAGCGGCGACCGCTGTTCGCGCGGACTGCTGAGAATATCGATCTCGTGTGTGTATTTGCCATTCACACCTTTCGGTGGAAAATAATGGTGGAGAAGAAAAAAAAAACGAGGATCTCGACACGAATCACGGCAGCGATTATCGACGGACCGCGCGCGCCACCGCCACGTCCCCGTCATCGCGTTTTGCGTCGTCGATGTCGGACGGTCTATTCCGCGGAATATAACTTCTCCAAAATCACCTTAAACTTTTTTTGTAACGACAGATATTCCTAATCGGTCCAATGCTTATTATTAGTAAACTCATTTAGGGAGATAGCCACGTATTACGGAAACTTATTTTTGAAAGAAATGCAGCTACTTAGCTAAGTTTACGTTTGGAAACTTGTATAAAATATAAATATTTCTTATGCTGATACTCTATTCGCTTTTCTGAACATAATTTTCCAACAGCACACACAATCAATTTTTTTAATAATAATAAATATTCATTCTTGCATTATATTATAAATATATTGACAAAATTACAATGTAGGACAGAAGTTATATTTCTATAAATTACGAAAGAATACATTTATTTCTTAGGTTTGCAGGAGAATGCAAAACTTTTATTGTCGATGGGCAGTACATCGGACTTGTTCGAAAAATAATTTTTGTTCATCAATCGTTTTAACGATAACGTTTTATCTCGAAAATCCCGATTATGTTAATTAATTCAATCAACAAAATAATTTTTCGCAGCAGAAAAAATTTGATTGTACGATTTGTAATACCCGATATTTAATCTTTTTCCACATGTTCATCAACAAAGAAATTAACTTTTATTTGCGTTAAAATAAGTTAATCAAAATATTGTCCAAGTCGCGTCGTGTTTTTCTCGCACACCAGTTTACCAGAAATTAAACTTGCATTACGTGTCTTAATTTCCATTTACGATACAAGTGAGAATAATTTAAAATGGGAACGTTCAGATAAGAAAATAGATAAATTTTGTATGTATACTCTCTTTCGACTTTTATATGTATACTCTCGAGACTTTTGTATGTATGCTCTTGGCACGATGCAGTTATAATTTTCTATATTCTAATGCAGCATATACGAGGGGTATCCAGAAAATAAGTTCCGTTTGTATTATATGTTTAGTAAGGTCGATGTATGAGCGAGCTGGCAACACAGCATTGAAGAGGGGAAGCTACCGAATAGAATGAGCGGTGTTCGGCGTCAGTAGCTCGTGAAACACGGTCAGGAGAGGTTATCAAAATGGAGTCCTCCACTTCGCGTCCCGCCACCTCCATTCCGATTCCTTCTCGAGTTGTTTTGCGCGGCATCATTCAGTTTCTTTTTGCTCAAGATTTTAAATCCCTTTGGTGTGTCCCTTCTTCACGACAATGCTCGGCCGCACGTCGCTGCTTCAACAACTGCACTTTTGAATCAGTTTAGTTGGGATGTTTTGACCCACCCACCGTATAGCCCGGATCTAGCACCATCGGACTACCATCTTTTTACGAAACTGAAGGAGTCCTTGGCCGGAAAACGCTTCCAAAGCGACGAGGAAGTTCAGACAGCTGTAACTAACTGGACTAAAGAACTGGCGGGAAGTTTCTATGCAGAAGGGATTTCGAAGCTTGTTTCCAGATATATAAAATGTATTGAGATTGACGGGAATTATGTAGAAAAAGACTAGAAGTTGTCAAGTATTATCCATGTAAATTTTAGATTTTTTCAATAAAAACTTTATTTGTAAAAAAAAACGGAACTTATTTTCTGGATACCCCTCGTATATAATACTAAGAAAAACTGTAAACTATACTATTAAAAGTGGCCGCGTTTGGCAAAATGTTTATTTTGGAACTGTTGGAAGTCCTTCGCTGACAAAATGAGATAAGACTATATTTCTCTAAACCTAAAATTATAAAAAAAAAAAATAAACTAATAAATATAGTTTTTGTTGAATCGAAATTCACCAAAATGTATAAGATATTTAATCGGACACCAATTAAAAGTAACATAACAACAATGTTATAATCTCGCACTCAACAACTTAAGTAATAAATCATAAGCAGTCATGTGAATTGGTCAATTACAATAGAGATGATAAGGCCATAAGCAATAGAAAATTCCTTACTGTTTAAGTTTTTTTTGTATGCCATGGTTCTAAAAGAAAACGAGATAAATAAATATCATAATTACAGTACCTTATATGTGCTTTTTGAAACGACAGGTCTATTTGGAATTCGGAAATATGGAGTGGATATAAACGGCTATGTAATGGATCCTGTCAAGGGCTTGTCAATATGGTTACAAAAGCGTTGTCCGAATAAATAGACATGGCCGGCGTATTGGGATAGTATGGTGAGTGGTGGATTGAATGTTGGTTATGGTATAAATGAAACCGAAATAAAAGAAGCTGGCGAAGAAGCTGGTATTCCGAATCATCTCATTGTTAAGCTTAAGAGCGCTGACTGCGTATCGTTCTTCTTTGAAAGTGAGAGGGGTTTGTTTCCCAACATGGAATTTGTATATGATCTTGAACTGCCGCCCGAACTTTGGACCGAACAGTAGTGATGAAGAAGTAGAGATCTCCCAGAGGGGAGAGGGGGTGATATTTTCACTCGTCAAATAACAAGTTGTATACATTCAGAGCCCAATCACACGTATTATCCAGTATTCTGCAGACCACTTCGTACTTCGACATTCTGAACGGACGTGAAGCGCGAGTTTGTACCGAGTGATTCGGTATATTCAAGTTTGATAATTATGTCACTTGAGATAACGCTTTACTTTATAATATCATTTCACTTCAACTTGATAATGTGACAAGAATTAAAATAACAAGTTAACTTAAACATGTCTTATCTTAAAATTAATTCAAAGATTCTATTTAAATTTTACTAAAAATCCAAAGTCTTTCATTATCTAGGACAGAATAAAAGTGTGATATTTTAATATTCTTTACTTTTAAATATTAATTAATTTCCAGAATTAAACTTTTATTTATACAGTAAACCCATGTATAGAATAAATTTTTTTTATCTCTTTAGATCACTTAATTACTAGTATAGGTATGCTTCCTGCATGTGCACGTACGGTGCACCCCTCAAATTTTCAATCCCCGCTCGCCAAGGCACGTCCAAATGATAGACCCGGTCTCCAAGAGGAACATCACATCCGGATCGTTATCGGTGTCTATATATTCATCCACCAATCAACCATCGATAGCCGGCGGACCATTCGCACGGGGAATGAGGAGCATCGCGAGAACGCGTTCGCATACGTGTGCATCGGTGCACACGATTCACGGGGAGATGTAATCGGCATCCTACGCGTGTTGCACCGTGTACATACAATGGATTGTCTAATGCGGGACATGTGTTAGGTCGAATTCTGCAGCGCGAATTTTGTATGGAGGCGCGCTCTTTCCCGCTATTGTATAGGCCGAAATTTGAGAGAGACAATTTTTTGTCACGGTTTTCAATTGGAACTAACGCGATGCGCGTGATCAATAAAATTTTAATTCTAATTTTAAAGTCATCGACCGAATCGATTAATAATAAATGCGTAATAAATAATTATTAAAATAAAATATTTAACATCACTTATTAATTATCGTGCCATTCTAATGTCAAAAATGAAGCAAACCATATCATAAATTTGCACGACACTTTTATGAATCTGAACGTCGGAGCGTTTGGAATAAAATTTTAAAGCAGAAAAGTTCGGGTCAAATTACGAAAAAAAATTGACTCCGACGGTTGTGTTTTTCGATGTCTCGCTAAATTTCTGGATGACAGGTAAGACAGGAAAGTGAATAGCATCGTGTGATTTATTTTATCATATAATTTTGTGCAAAAAACGCAATATGTAATAATCATATAACATATGTATAACACATATACATAATATGTAACATATGAATATTACGAGATTATATGACAATATTTACTGACTAAAGATCCTTCACGACTTCCTCTTTGCTTTCATTTGCGCTTCACGAATCTTGCCTTTGTCTTCCTTTCCCTCTTCTGCTTTCTTTCGGTTACTCTGATCTATATTCAAAAACATCGGCCGAACTGCTCCTCGTATTCCACTTACTGCAACACTTTTTATCTCCTCCACAACCAAATTTGGCAGCCTTTATTTGCATCTTGAACTGCGCCTTTGGATTTATCTTGCGATTTACGTGTGTGGTTTTTAGCTTGAAATCAACATTGCGGTTTCTTCTTATCATCCAAGAAATCGAGATCTTTTCGATATCTTATCCTTGCGATATTTTTTTACCTCTTCCGTCGATTTTCTTTTCTCTACATCTTTCTTTAGAATTGTCTCGCCTTGCATTTGCTTCGCAACCTTCTTCTGTTGTTTCATTTGTCTTAACTTTTCCGATCTTTGCGTCATTACCCGCTTCTTCATCAGATTTTTTCGCACTTTTTGCATGTGCTCGTCAGATTTGGCCATCTCAGCAAAGTAATCATCCGGTCTAGGTATCGATGTGCAAAGCATTTTTAACCTATTAATACCTTCTATAACAGCATCCTGAGCATGACAGTGAAACTCGATCCAGGCAAGTTCAGCTTTATTTCATCCAATTTTTGCTTCATGTGATTTTGCAATTTGTTTAGAGGAAGAGTTAAGTTAAGTTACAATAAAAGGACTCCAAAATGTACTGTAGTAATTTCTGAAAAAGAATCACTCACGACGTAATTCTTGGATTGCTTGTCACTTTTCTCGATCGCCACATTGAGCCCTGACTTTAATCCCTTCGCGAAGCGAACTCTAGCGAACTCTCAAGCTTCTTGTAGCTGAACACGTGAGTTAAACGAGGTTAGATTAGAATGCGCATGATAGTGATAAGCGCACAAGGGAATCGTGATACTCACCTCCTCATTGGACGAATTGTACTCTGAGTCTGATTCTGATGTTTCTGACATTGCAAATAATTTACTATTATTTTTATTTAATTGTGATTAACCGGTAGGACGTGCTCCTAAACGATTCGAGAACAACACGCCAACGTCGTCAACGTCGCCCACGCCACCCTCTAACTCCACCCTCTAACTCTACGGATTTCAAATTTTCGACGATACTTCTAGCGACTCTATCTGGTGGAGCAATCTGGAAATTATTCGTAAGGTATAATACCAACAATCAGTAAAAAATAAAAAAATACTTTCTCTTTTTAATAAAATTTTTATCCGTCAAAGACATTACAATGTAAAAGCAGACAAATGATAAAAAATCATTTTTTACCAAGTTGATATTTGATACAAAGAGAATTTTCTTCCACAGTCAAAAAATAATTTTTGTTCATCAATCGTTTTAACGATAATGTTTAATCTCGAAAATCCCGATTATGTTAATTAATTCAATCAACAAAATAATTTTTCACAGCAGAAAAAATTTGATTATACGATTTGTAATATCCGATATTTAATCTTTTTCCACAATACAAAGGAATTAATACATTTATTTGTGTTAAAATAAGTTAATGAAACTATTGTCCAAGTCGCGTCATGTTTTTCTCGCAGACCAGTTTATCAGGAATTAAACTTGCATTACGTGTCTTAATTTCCATTTACGATAGAAGTGAGAATAATTTAAAATGGAAACGTTCAGATAAGAAAATGGATAAATTTTATATGTATACTCTTTCGACTTTTACACTCTCGACTTGTATGCTCTCGAGACTTTTGTAGGTATGCTCTTGGCACGATGCAATTATAATTTTCTATTCTCTAATGCAATATATAATACTAAAAAAAACTAGAAAACTATACTATTAAAAATGGCCGCGTTTGGCTAAATGTTTATTTTACAACCATTGGAAGTTCGCTGACAAAATGAGATAAGATTATATCCCTCTAAACGTAAAATTATAAAAAAAAAATAAACTAATAAATATAGTTTTTTTGTTGAATCGAAATTCATCAATGTATAAGATATTTAATCGGACACCAACTAAAAGTAACGTAACAACAATGTTATAATTTCGCTCAGCAATATAAATGTAATACAACACTTGAAAACTTTCGATCAGTTGTAAAATAAACGTTTTATTGAGGCCAAGGAGAACAAGAAAGTCAAAATGTCGCATTAACCGAAACATGATAAAAGTAATGACATAAATTCTATTAATAATCGATTAATATAACATTAATTTGACATTATTTTGATTTTCTTATTCTCCTTGAAAAAACAGTTACGACATTGTTGTATTTTATAAACGCATCCTAAGCGGAACACAATCGCTTGATATTAAAATGGCTTCAAAATGATTAAAACTTAAAAAGTCACTTTTCAATCATTTTGATATTACCATGACTTGTTCTATTTAAGATAGAATTGCGTGTAGAATATTTCCGAAAGAGGTGAAAATGAAAAAAAGACGCAAACCTCGCAATGGCGCAAATTCGTAAAGTTATGCGTACATACTTTTGCATTCGACTGTATACAGTAACCTTGACGAGTCTCAAATTCAGTAGCTACGCACATTGCGCAAAAAAAAAAGCCAGCGATATAATAGTATTGATCGTTTCGACTCTTAATCATTTCGCTAAATACTTGACGATATCAAGACTGTTCAAGAGTCATCGAGAAACCTTTGCGAAAAAGACCGCAGCGTTTTCGAGAGACACACCCGTATGCGTGCTCGCGCGCCATATTACCCGTGATAAATTCGTATCTACCCCTCATACTCGAGAAAATAAAAGGACCGATAAAGAGAAGATATAAGAGGTCAAGACGAGAAATTGAAGTAAATAATAAGCGATTACGTTTTAGTTTAGTCTCGCGACGAAGGGGAGGTTGATTCCGCTTGATTCCATAATCGAAATTCTTGCATTCCCTCCATTTCGTCGTTACGCTTCGGCCGTCCTCGGTTATATGCCGATTGAACGAGAGCGGCGGCGTAGTGGTGTTCGAGTAGCGCAGAGCAGCGGCAGAGTGACGGGCGCCGATTGGCTGACGTAGCTCGCGCCGCCGAGAGACCGGCCAATCGCGGCGCGCGGCATCCGTAAGGCGCAACAGTCCACACAGTCTCCGCGAAAAGCATCGTCTCCTGGGGCGCCTGTCTGACACGCGTTATGTGCTCGATGCCAAGATTTCCGTCGCAGCTGGCCGGATGACAACGACGTAACATCATGGCGGATAACGATAAGAAGCCGATGTCACGTTTAATGAAACTCGCCAACAAGTTCAATTGCTTCTACCTGTCAGGTAAGCGTTACGCGGCGGTCAGGTTACGCGACGACTCATGCCGCTATGTATTATCCCCGGCGACTTGTCTTCCGGCCGCGTCATCGACGGGAACGAGCGGCGTCTGCCGTTCGCGCGGACCGCCGAGAATATCGATCTCGCGCTCGTGTGTGTATTTGCCGTTCGCCTTTCGGTGGAAAATAATAGGGTGGAGAGGAAAAAAAAACGAGGATCTCAACACGAATCACGGGAGCGATTATCGACGGGCCGCGCGCGCCTCCGCCACGTCCCCGTCATCGCGTTTTGCGTCGTCGATGATGGACGATCTATTTCGCGGAATATAACTATTCCAAAATCATTTTAAACTTTTTTTGTAACGCCTAATCAGCCCAATGCTTGTTTTGAGTAAACTCATTTATGGAAAACGCCACATATTGCGGAAACTTTGATTATACTTCCTATATACCTAGAGAGAAATGCAGTTACTTAGCTAAGTTTACGTTTGGAAACTTGTGTAAAATATAAATATTTCTTATACTGATACTTTATTCTCTTTTCCGAACATAATTTTCCAACAGTACACACAATCAATTTTTTTAATAATAAATATTCATTCTTGCATTATATATTGACAAAATTACAATACATGTAGGACAGAAGTTATATTTCTATAAATTACGGAAGAATACGTTTATTCCTTAGGTTTACATGCAGGAGAATGCAGAGCTTTTATTGTCGATGGTCAGCAAATCGGACTTGTTCGTCCAGATGTGATGAAGGAAATATTAAATCATCCTCAAGTGAGTTTATTTTATTCTTTCTTATTAATATTTTTATTTTTGTTAACTCATGTATAATGCAACATTAATTCAAGGTATTTCAAGTACATCCCGAATATGTACAATTAAATCCAGCCTTTCGGGATTATGCTGAAAGAAGTGCACGCGTCGATGAAGTATTAAGGGAATGGATGTCTGGTGGAAAATTTGTAACTTTACGAGGCTGGAGAGAGGAATGCTATGAAGTGCGTTCACAATTTAATACGCTACCATTGTTTAAGATGGATCGTTCGGCTACATGTAAGTATAGAATCCATGCTACATAAAAAAAAGCTTAAGTAATAAATCATAAGTAGTCAGGTGAATTTATCAATCACATTAGAGATGATAAGGCTATAACTTAAGCAATAGAAAATTCCTTATTGTTTAAGTTTTTTCTGTATGCAAAATTTCTAAAAGAAAACGAGATATAAATATCATAATTACAGTACCTTATATATATATGTGCTTTTTGAAATGATAGGTCTATTTGGAATTCGGAAATATGGAGTGGATATAAATGGCTATGTAATGGATCCTGTCAAGGGCTTGTCAATATGGTTACAAAAGCGTAGTCCGAATAAACAGACATGGCCGGCATATTGGGATAGTATGGTGAGTGGTGGATTGAGTGTTGGTTATGGTATAAATGAAACCGCGATAAAAGAAGCTGGCGAAGAAGCTGGTATTCCGAATCATCTCATTGCTAAGCTTAAGAGCGCTGGCTGCGTATCATTCTTCTTCGAAAGTGAGAGAGGTCTGTTTCCCAACACGGAATTTGTATATGATCTTGAACTGCCGCCCGACTTTGTACCGAACAATAGTGATGGAGAAGTAGAGACCTTCGAATTACTCCCCGTTAGTGAATGTTTAGAGAGGATACTTTCCCCACATTTCAAAACCACTTCTGTACCAGTTGCCCTTGACTTCTTAATTAGACACGGATACATTACAGCAGAGAACGGTAAGGCATATAATTCATTCAAAAATTGTTGAATACAACTTATCGAAAGTGCTGTATAATACTAATTTATTGATTTGTTTTTGTTGCAGAGCCTAACTTTATACAGATTGTGGAGTTACTTCATGTACCTCTGCAAACTATGTACAATCATCGACACAAAGCTAGTAATAGAATGGCTAATGGTGAAGCGATCGATGTTTTAGAAAAAGTTTAAGTTTCGCTAGGCTTTTAATTTATACTGTGCTAATGGCTATGAATTGAATGAAATGAATGACGTTCCTTTTCTATGTTTCTTCATTGGACAAGTATTGAAAAATTTCATATTACAGTTGTACACATGTAAGACGTAAAGAATTTTTTATAATTGATAAAGATCATAAATTATAAATTTATAATTTATAACTACATGGATTTATATATAAAACACACTTCTATTGAGTTGGCAATATCTTCTGCATTCATTTTAATTGCGTATATTGAATTAACAACGAAAAAAAATAATCAATACGCTTTATTAACTGCATCAA